AGCCCAGAGCCTTTTAATCCATGGCGCCAACTCTTCCTTCGTTCCCTTTCTTGGGTTCCTTTGAAAGTTTCGCAGCTGGAAGGTGCAAGCGAATCTGGCTTCCAGATGTGTTAGCAAAAAAGCTCATTGCCAAGTTTCTAGATCTCATGGTCCTGGAGAAAAATCTTGAACCAAGGAGCGTTGGTGGGTCAGTGAACCAGGCTGTTAACCAGAAGGTTGGTGGTTCAAGCCCACCCAAAGACAGCTGTGGACAGGATTTCTGTGCCGCAGAGGGTTGAGCTAGATGACCCTCACCCTCAGGGGTTCCCACCCTAGGATGACGCCAGATTATGTCAAATGAACACTTTACACTCCAGTAGTCCCTCAGAAGCCAAGAAGAGTTTTCAGCGTCAGACCAAAGGATTGTCTAGTGCACACTAGGGATGGAAAAGTCACTTAAACTCACCTGGTCTCTCATTTTTACACTCCTAAATTAAGTTCTCCACATCTTGTAGCAATGTTGAGATATATACCGTATTTTTCGCTCTATAAGACACACTTTTCCCCTCCTAAAAAGTAAGGGGAAGTGTGTGTGCGTCTTGTGGAGCGAATGCAGGCTGTGTGGCTAAGCCAGAAGCCAGAACAGCGAGAGGAAGCGCTGCCCAGCAATTCCCTCTCGCTGTTCTGGCTTCTGGCTTAGCCATGCGAAGCCTCCGCAGGGCACACGGAGGCTTCGCGCGGCTATCCGTGGCTCTTGCTGGAGGTGGGGGAAGTGACAGAGCGTGGCTCTCTCACTTCCCCCACCTCCCGCAAAAGCCCCCAAGAGCCGCGCTCCCTTTAAAGAGCCATGCAGAACGTGTGTGCGGCTCTTGGGGGCTTTTCCCTGAGGAGAGAGAAGGATTTTTTTTTTCTTGCATTCCCCCTCTAAAAACTAGGTGCGCCTTATGGTCAGGTGCGTCTTATGGAGCGAAAAATACGGTAGATAGCTATAACAGCTATATCCTTATGAAGACTCATCTGCAAATTTCTCTACTTCATTTGTTTAATTTATTGACTGCTTTGTTTCTTGATTGATAACATGTTTATTTACCGCTATGAGAAAGATCAAAGCACTTTGCAGTAATATCTACATATATTTAAAAACAAATGAGAAATGTATATCGTTCTTTAAGGGACCATTTCTACCCTGCTCATCTGACTGTGTTGCTCCAGCCACTCTGGGCAGCTTCCAATATACAGTGGGGCCTCGCAAGACGAAATTAATTGGTTCCGCAAGTTTTTTCTTCTTGCGAGTTTTTCGTCTTGCGAAGCACGGTTTCCCATAGGAATGCATTGAAAATCAATTAATGCATTCCTATGGAAACCGACTTCAGACCAGGTCCGGGGACAGTCTGTCCCCCGACTTCTTCTGAAGGCTGGGGGGGGACAAGGGCTTTTCTTCCCACCCCCAGCATTTTAAAAAACCCCGGGACAGCGGAGAGCTTCTCTGCTGTCCGGGGCGATGTTAAAATGCTGGCGGGCGGCAGGACCTCTGGCAGGCGTCCAGGTCCTCTTCTGAAGGCGGGCAGGGGGCAAAAGTCTTTGCTCCCCCGGACGGCAGCATTTTAAAATCGCCCCGGACAGCGGAGAAGTCCCCCGCTGTCCCGGGGTTTTTAAAAAACCTCTCCGCCCCGCCGGGCTTTGGAGCAGCCTTCCGAAGCCTGGCGGCGGGAGGAGGTCTGAGGACAGTGGGGAAGACGCGCTGCGCTTCCCTGCTGTCCGGGAGATTTCCCTATGGGCTTTCGTCTTGCGAAGGAAGCCCATAGGGAAATTCGTTTTGCAAAGTGCCTCCAAAACGGAAAACCCTTTCGTCTAGTGAGTTTTCCGTCTTGCGAGGCGTTCATCTTGTGGGGCACCACTGTATATATATAAAAACATAATAAAACGTTAGACCTTAAAAAGCTTCCCTATATCTTGATGGCAGACTGGCAGTTTTATTTTCAATTCCCCCACCCCACACACAAAGGAACAGACTTTTTCCACAGTTGTCATACACTAGGGTGACATTTTCATCAAGCGAACTGCCATGAAACCCTGAGATCCCTTTCCTGCCAAATGTTCAAGAGGATTTTTATTTATATATTTTTTAAAAAGTTCAAATCACAAATTGCTGCAGAAATGTGCCCCCTTCCTTTCCCCCTGCCACCAACTGCCAGCACAGGGATATTTGAAGGACAAGTGGCAAAGAAGCATTAAAAGTTTTCCCCTTAACAAACAAGTTGTCTTTTCCATTCTGTCATAACTTAAAACAGCAAACAAAAAACAACCGGTGCCTTTTGTTGTAATAATCTTCTGCGAACTGCTCTATCAGCTCCACCTGATAAGTGGCATTTGAATACTGCAAGTAAATAAATGGAGAGGACTGATGTGGACAGCTCCATCCATCCCTACATAAAGGTAAAGGTAAAGGTACCCCTGCCCGTACGGGCCAGTCTTGCCAGACTCCAGGGTTGTGCGCCCATCTCACTCAAGAGGCCAGGGGCTAGCGCTGTCCGGAGACACTTCCGGGTCACGTGGCCAGTGTGACAAGCTGCATCTGGCGAGCCAGAGCCGCACACGGAAACGCCGTTTACCTTCCCGCTGGTAAGCGGTCCCTATTTATCTACTTGCACCCGGGGGTGCTTTTGAACTGCTAGGTTGGCAGGTGCTGGGACCGAGCAGCGGGAGCGCACCCCGCCGCGGGGATTTGAACCGCCGACCTTCCGATCGGCAAGCCCTAGGCGCTGAGGCTTTTACCCACAGCGCCACCCGCGTCCCACATCCCTACATAGCCTGTGGGTATTCTAAAACAGTTTAAAAACACTGTAAAAACAGTTAAGAACATTCTGGAAGTCTCAAGGGGTGAGGCAGGAAAAGATGGCAAGTGTAACAGGAAGACTGAAGGACAAGGAAAGAAACGTTTAAACATTTCAGTGTGGTATATATATTTGCAGAATATGGATAGATACCTTTTCAAAATGAGAGCAACAGCATCAAATGATCCCGAGGACAATCTTTTCCTTCTGATTATATTTTATTAAGTTTCAACATTTTCAACATACAGAATCAAAATACAGTTTCACCTTTTCTCTCATTTTTGTCGGCTTCTCGCCTCTTTTTCCACACAGTTGTTGCTTCTCTCCTTCTGCTGCACCCTACCTTCTACCTATCAAATCATAACCGCAATAGTATAATCAAATCACTTCCGTTGCTCATAGCTCAAATCCTGCTCACGAGTTCGCCATACCATAATATTTCTTCAAATTGTCCGAAAAGGACATCCGTTCTTGTCCTGAGGACAATCCTAGTTGTGATACGGAACCGCCATTCGAACAGAGTCCAGCCTCCTATTCTCACAGCCGGATACCTGTGAGAAACCCACAAGCAGAATTCGAACACAAGAGCTCTCTCCCCTCCTGTGGCTTCAGGCAACCAGTATTTGGAAGCATTGCCGCCTCTGACTGTGCAGGCAGAGCACAGCCACTGTGGCCAGTAGCCATCAATAGGCCACTCTCCTCCATAAGTAATAATAATAATAATAATAATAATAATAATAATAATTTATTATTTATACCCCGCCCATCTGTCTGGGTTTCCCCAGCCACTCTGGGCAGCTTCCAACAAAACACTAAAATACAATAACCTATTAAACATTAAAAGCTTCCCTAAACAGGGCTGCCTTTAAATGTCTTCTAAAGGTTTGGTAGTTATTTTTCTCTTTGACATCTGGTGGGAGGGCGTTCCACAGGGCGGGTGCCACTACCGAGAAAGCCCTCTGCCTGGTTCCCTGTAACTTGGCTTCTTGCAGTGAGGGAACCGCCAGAAGGCCCTCGGCTCTGGACCTCAGTGTCCAGGCTGGACGGTGGAGGTGGAGACGCTCCTTCAGGTATACTGGACCGAGGCCGTTTAGGGCTTTAAAGGTCAACACCAACACTTTGAATTGTGCTCGGAAACGTACCGGGAGCCAGTGTAGGTCTTTCAAGACCGGTGTTATATGGTCTCGGTAGCCGCTCCCAGTCACCAGTCTAGCTGCCGCATTCTGGATTATTTGTAGTTTCTGGGTCACCTTCAAAGGTAGCCCCACATAGAGCGCATTGCAGTAGTCCAAGTGGGAGATAACCAGAGCATGCACCACTCTGGCGAGACAGTCTGCGGGCAGGGACGGTCTCAACCTGCGTACCAGATGGAGCTGGTAGACAGCTGCCCCGGACACAGAATTGATCTGCGCCTCCATGGACAGCTGTGAGTCCAAAATGACTCCCAGGCGACGCACTTGGTCCTTCAGGGGCACAGTTACCCCATTCAGGACCAGGGAGTCCTCCACACCAGCCCGCCCCCTGTCCCCCCAGAACAGTACTTCTGTCTTGTCGGGATTCAACCTCAATCCATTAGCCACTATCCATCCTCCAACTGCCTCCAGGCACTTCTACAGGATGTTCACTGCCTTCACTGGTTTCTCTAATTCCCTTTCAAAGTCACCCGAGTTAGCAGCCATCATGGCCTCCTGTGGGAGGGAGTTCCGAAGTCTAACTGTACGCAGTGTAAATAAGAACTTTCTTTTATGTGTCCTGAATCTTCATTGCATGTCCCCAAATTCTAGTGTTATGAGAGAGGGAGAAACGCTTTTCTGTAGCCACTTTTTCTATGCTGTACATCATTTTAAAAACTCCTGCTGTGTCGCCTCTCACGAGAACCGCTACCTTTCAGAGTTCCTAAACTGTATTCTTCCCGACAGTGCAAGCAGGCACAATTCCACCTATGCACTTTCCTTTATAAAATTCCCACTAGAGAGAACTGGAAATCCAAGGAGGGAGACCAGTCTATCCCTGGTGAGTCAGGAAGACCCTACAGTTCCACGGCCAAGTTTACAGCCTTGCAGTTTGCCTCAGCTTTTAATTTAAAAGCAGGCCTCTGCCCTGAAAATTTGGGGTTTTTCTCTCTGCCTAAGACTTGGAATGAGCAGGTCTGTGTGGCCCTGCGGCGAGGCAGAGCTCCTGCTTCCACAACTCTGGGCGCGTCAGAGAAAGCGCTTGCGACACCCGGGCCCCAATTCCCAGAGGAATTGCAGATCCCAAACGGGGGAACAGGGAACCAGGTTTCGTCAGGAGTGGATTTTCCTGTTGAGTCAGACGGGCGGGATCCCTCCCACTGATGCTTGCCAGATCCACCAGCCAGTTGCTCTCAGGTGTTTCAGGATCCCGGGGAGCCACGCAAGGGAACGGGGTTCTGGAAGCATCAAGACTGAGCCAGGGGTCCTCTGTCTCGCATCTGTGGCGGACAAACAGGTGAGTTGGGGCAGGGGTTGTCGCAGAGAGTGGGGGACAGGGCGTGGAAGGAGATGGGGTTGTGACAGGCCTGGATTCCATCTTTCCCACATGGGAGAGAAAGCTGCTATTGAATTTCTTCCCCTGGCTAAGAAAATCACCGCATCTGGCTTTTTTTATTCTTATTTTGTAGAATTCTAAGGTCTCAAATTGAGTGATTTCTTGAGTGATATTCTGAGTACCACTTAGGTGGGTCATTAGGTGTGGATTAGTTGCTAAAGCCTTCGTGTCTTGACCTCTTGAACTTTGTGAAGAGTTTTTTCTGAGAAGATGGTTGTACTGCACTTAGTTTTGCTCTGGCTTGGCTTCGTGTATAGGGGCGAGCTGTGGTTTTGTGCCCTGTGCCAGCCAGATCTGTGTAGGGATTGCAGGGGGGTGCAGCATCCGGAGGTGCCACCATGGTTTGGCTACTGGATGGTGTCTGTAATTTATCTGTGGAGAGGGTCTGGGTTTGGGTCTGGTGTGGTTGATTGGTGATGGCGTTCTGTGTGCCTCTGGATCTGGTGTCGGTTTTTGTGGGGAGGGCTAATTTCCAGATGTCTGGCAGGCGGGACGTGTCGTCACGCTTGTTCATGTTGTGAGGGTGTTTCTCTATCTCGATGGCTTCCATGATTATTCTCTTGTGGTGATGTTCCATGTTAAAGAGCAATTTGGATTCTGCAAAATTAATTTCGTGTCCTGTTTCTTTCATGTGTTGGAAAAGAGAGGAAGTTTTTTCTTCTTTTTTGACGGCATTCTTGTGTTCTGCGATACGTGCATTTATTCGTCTGTTTGTTTGTCCAATGTACGTGGCTGGGCAGACTTTGCAGGGTATTTCATAGACCCCTTGGTTTTCCAACTGGATTTTATCTTTGGGGTTTCTGAGGATATTGGCTATTTTTTGGTTGGTGCAAAAGGCTGTTTTGATATTGTGTTTATGGAGGATTTTGCTAATTTTATCTGTAGTGCCCTTGATATAAGGAAGGAGGGCCATGCCATTGTTTTCTTCTGTGTCTTGGTTTTTGGGGGGTGTTTCTTTTTGGATTAGCTTCGTAACCCTGTTTTGCTGGTATCCATTGGCGATTAACACATTTGAGAGATTCTGTAACTCAGTTGTCAAGTGGTCTTTGTCAGCCAGGCGCTTGGTTCTGGAGATGAGAGTCTTGGCTACGATATATATATATATAATTCATAAATGTTACAAGGCAAACAGATACATAAGTAAATAAACCACATGTCTGAAAATAGTACAGGAGAGCATCTGGGGGTTTTGAGCTTGATAGAAAAAGCAAGTAAGAGCTCACATTTTGGACTCACAGCTGTCTATGGAGGCACATAAAAGGAAGTTCTTACAGTGGTACCTCAGGTTAAGTACTTAATTCGTTCCGGAGGTCCGTACTTAACCTGAAACTGTTCTTAACCTGAAGCACCACTTTAGCTAATGGGGCCTCCCGCTGTTGCCGTGCCGCCGGAGCACGATTTCTGTTCTCATCCTGAAGCAAAGTTCTTAACCTGAAGCACTATTTCTGGGTTAGCGGAGTGTGTAACCTGAAGCGTATGTAACCTGAGGTACCACTGTATTTACACTGCGTATAGTAAGGGCATGAATTCGAGCCATTTCCCCCTTGCCGCACTCCTTTCCCAGGGAAAACCCACTCTTAGCTCGGAGCAAACGTCAGCCTGGAGAAAACCCAAACTGAGCACTAAAGAGCTGGTTTCCCCCCAGGAAACAGGGGGCGGGGGGGCGGGAAGAGAAATGGGACGTAAGGACGTGTGGATGAACTCTTAAGAGGCGACACAGCAGAAGGTGCATGTCTTTTACTGCTTCTTTTAATTTTTTCCAATTACCCTACGGAACTCCCTGTCACAGGAGAAAGGGATGGCTTCCAACTTGGAATGGCTTCGAAAGTGGATTAACGGAGGCAGATTAGCAGAGGCCAAGGCCACTGATGGCTGCTAAGCTTCTCCGACTATATCCAACTCCACGGTCAGAGGCAGTAATGCTTCTGAATATAATTTTCTTGAAAATACAGAAGGGGAGATTTGCTGTTCGCCTCAGGTCCTGCTTGTGGGATTCTCATTGGGGCGAGTGGTGTTGGGGGATGAGCGTTCAGACCCCTGGGCTCTCACTTGTGGGGTGCCTCAGGGCTCCATCCTCTCCCCCATGTTTTTTAACATCTATATGAAGCCACTGGGAGAGATCATCAGGGGGTTTGGGCTTGGTGTTCATCAGTATGTGGATGATACCCAGCTCTACCTCTTTTTTAAATCAGAACCAGTGAAGGTCCTGTGTGAGTGCCTGGAGGTGGTTGGAGGATGGATTGAGGCTGAATCCTGACAAGACAGAAGTACTGTTTTGGGGGACAGGGGGCAGGCTGGTGTGGAGGACTCCCTGGCCCAGAATGGGGTATCTGTGCCCCTGAAGGACCAGGTGTGCAGCCTGGGATTCATTTTGGACTCACAGCTGTCCATGGAGGTGCAGGTCAGTTCTGTGTCCAGGGCAGCTGTCTAACAGCTCCCTCTGGTACGCAGGCTGAGACCCTACCTGCCCATATAGCACTGGTCTTGAAAGACCTACATTTCAAATTCAAAGTGTTGGTGCTGACCTTTAAAGCCCTAAACGGCCTTGGCCCAGTATACCTGAAGGAGCGTCTCCACCTCCATCGTCCAGCCTGGACACTGAGGTCCATCTCTGAGGGCCTTCTGGCAGTTCCCTCGCTGCAAGAAGTGAAGTTACAGGGAACCAGGCAGAGGGCCTTCTTGGTAGTGGCGCCCGCTCCGTGGAACGCCCTCCCATCAGATGTCAAGGAAATAAACAACTATCTGACTTTTAGAAGACAGCTGAAGGCAGCCCTGTACAGGGCAGTTTTTTAAAAAATGTTTCATTATGTTTTTATATATGTTGGAAGCCACCCAGAGTAGCTGGGGCAACCCAGTCAGATGGGCGGGGTATAAATAATACCATTAATATTATTATTATGGAATAGGATGTCCCTATTTTCATCAGAGAAATGTTGGAGGGTATGCTAACCTACCTCACAGGGTTGTTCTGAGGATAAAATAGGGAGGGGGGATAGATTTATATGTGCCACCTTGAGTTCCTTGGGTGGGGGAAGTAGGCTATAAATTTAATAAGTACAGTGGTACCTCGGGTTAAGAATTTAATTCGTTCTGGAGGTCCGTTCTTAACCTGAAACTGTTCTTAACCTGAAGCACCACTTTAGCTAATGGGGCCTCCCGCTGCTGCTGTGCTGCCGGAGCACGATTTCTGTTCTCACCCTGAAGCAAAGTTCTTAACCTCAGGTACTATTTCTGGGTTAGCGGAGTCTGTAACCTGAAGCGTATGTAACCCGAAGTACCACAGTACATAAATAATCTCATCCACAAACCATGGGGCTCCTTGTCCCAAATCAGCAGGCCACGAAATACAACCATCTAATTTGTCCCAAGCCTAGCCTAAAACCTTTGAAGTCTTTTTGCCTTTCTAGAGCAGGAAGGCTGTCCTCTTATCATCTGATGTTGTCTGCCCCTTTTCTCGAACCCTTGGCCAGTGGTGGTGTCACAAAAAGCAACAGCTGCCTTGCTCCGTTTCCCTGGTGCTGCCAGAAAAGCGTGTGCAGATTGCATCTGCACAATCACCGCAGTGTTGTCTTTGATCCTGAGATTGTATACTTAGTGGGGCAGGGACCTGTTCTCTTAATCGATTTCGCAATTGATTGCTTGATTGTAAGGAAACCGCAAAGCAATTACTAGGACTTCCAAGGAGACTCTCTGTACTTTGGAAAGCTGAGCCGCTATAGAGCAGATCAGGGAAATACCGGTACCTCCTTTTTTGCAGCTGGAGGGCTGCACTCACTTCTCCACAACCTTCCGAGGGCCACTTGCCAGCGGTGGGAGGGGCCAGAGACAAAAGTGGGAGGTTTTTATATTTGTGCAATAGGCTAGCTTTTTCACACTCACACTTCCCTCTATCCAGAGGCGCCGAGTTCTGTGCAGCATGCGGGGGGCGGAGCTTGTCGAATGCACATGATGTCACACGTATGACACACACGTGTGACATCACACCTGGCGGGAGGAAGCCTTCCTTTGTTCTAGATATAATTTTATAGTGTTGTGAAAACTTCAATAACAATTTGTAGAAGGAGGCTGCAAGGCCCTACAGGGCCCTCCACTGCTATGGGGAGGACCTGCGGGGACCGGTCTGGGCCCTCAAGATTGTGGGTGGCGGTCAGGCCCATCTCCACATATTTTGGGGGGGCTGTGCTGACAGCAGCCCCTTAGAGTTCTCTCTCTCTCTCTCTCTCTCTCTCTCTCTCTCTCTCTCTCTCCCTGCCAGGCAAAGCATCCGTTCCAACCAAGCCCTTACCCTTAAGGGTGTGTGTGTGTGTGTGTGTGTGTGTGTGTGCCAAGCAGAATCAATGAGGGATCTGACCTTGGAAGGATCCCCCAAAAGAGGAGGGGGATGCAGACGAAGGACCATAGCTCACTGGCAAAGCATCTGCTTTGTATGCAATCCCAGGCATCTCTACGTTGGGCTGGAGAATGAATTTTATTATTACAGTCACAGACCAGTTCCGGCTCACTTACAATATCGGGAAAATCATAAAACACAACAGGAATACATTGGATTGCGATTGGGTTTAACAGAGACACTTCCGATATAACAGCAGTTAAAAATATACATTAAATCTTGATCACTAAAATATAACCTAAAATTGTCATTTAAAACCGTAATCATTTTGGTAGTACAGCCTGTTCCCTAAGTTGGAAGCTGGAGAAAGACTCCTTTCCTAAGACCCTGGAGAGCTCTTGCCACTCAGGGTGGACGATGTAGAGCTCGCCGGACAAATGATCTCATGGAGCCAATGCAGATTAAAACCTTTTCTGCCTCTCTCCTAGCACTGGAACTCACAGTCATCCACTGCAGGTGAACGCTGGCAGATTTTTATCCCCCCCCCCAAAAAAAAGATTTATTAGTTTTC